TATGTTTCTGTCAGTGATATACATAACCAGCTCTCCGTCTAACAATAACATAATGGCAAGCACACATACACTTTGCATGATTATGTAACATCCAACCCAACGTTTTGTGCACATACAGGCTAGGGTAAAATGCGATTTCCAAGAATTTTTATCTAAGAAGAATAGATAACTCTTGACGTTTAATTATCTCCCTCCGATTTTTAAAACATAATTAAAAGATAATTAGATATTTCATTATACATGATTTTGTCTTGGTTATCTTTCAAAGCACTAATTATTTTAGCATATAATCAATTTTCAAAACAAAACAAAAAGGAGAATTAAATGAAAGCCTGTCTTTTAAAATTTCATTTAAACAGCGAATTAGTTGTCCTATGTGTTTATCATTCCATGAGGACATAGTCCTACCGTCTCACTAGGACATAGTCCTGTCTCACTAGGACATAGTCCTACCGTCCCACTAGACTAGGACATAGTCCTACCGTCTCACTAGGACATAGTCCTGTCGTCTCACTAGGACATAGTCCTGTCTCACTAGGACATAGTCCTACCGTCCCACTAGACTAGGACATAGTCCTACCGTCTCACTAGGACATAGTCCTACCGTCTCACTAGGACATAGTCCTACCGTCTCACTAGGACATAGTCCTACTGTCCCAATAGGACATAGTCCTGCCGTCTCACTAGGACATAGTCCTACCGTCCCACTAGACTAGGACATAGTCCTACCGTCTCACTAGGACATAGTCCTACTGTCCCAATAGGACATAGTCCTGTCGTCTCACTAGGACATAGTCCTACCGTCCCACTAGGACATAGTCCTGTCGTCTCAATAGGACATAGTCCTACCGTCCCACTAGGACATAGTCCTACCGTCTCACTAGGACATAGTCCTGTCGTCTCACTAGGACATAGTCCTACCGTCTCACTAGGACATAGTCCTACCGTCTCACTAGGACATAGTCCTACCGTCTCACTAGGACATAGTCCTACTGTCCCAATAGGACATAGTCCTGCCGTCTCACTAGGACATAGTCCTACCGTCCAACTAGACTAGGACATAGTCCTACCGTCTCACTAGGACATAGTCCTGCCGTCTCACTAGGACATAGTCCTACCGTCTCCCTAGGACATAGTCCTACCGTCTCACTAGGACATAGTCCTGTCGTCTCACTAGGACATAGTCCTACCGTCTCCCTAGGACATAGTCCTACCGTCTCACTAGGACATAGTCCTACTGTCTCACTAGGACATAGTCCTACCGTCTCACTAGGACATAGTCCTACCGTCTCACTAGGACATAGTCCTACTGTCTCACTAGGACATAGTTCTACCGTCTCACTAGGACATAGTCCTACTGTCTCACTAGAACATAGTCCTGTCGTCTCACTAGGACATAGTCCTACTGTCTCACTAGGACATAGTCCTACCGTCTCACTAGGACATAGTCCTGCCGTCTCACTAGGACATAGTCCTACCGTCTCCCTAGGACATAGTCCTACCGTCTCACTAGGACATAGTCCTACTGTCTCACTAGGACATAGTTCTACCGTCTCACTAGGACATAGTCCTACTGTCTCACTAGGACATAGTCCTACCGTCTCACTAGAACATAGTCCTGTCGTCTCACTAGGACATAGTCCTACCGTCTCACTAGGACATAGTCCTACCGTCTCACTAGGAGACCGGCCAAAGGTCCAAATATGTATTCACGGCATACTTAGGGATGATGGTACAAACTAATACTACCCTCAGGAAAGACGGTATAAATTAATGGTACACCAATAACGGTGAAACATTAGTTTTCGATGCTAGCCATTGCCCTCAATTAAAAATAGTTGCCCCCAGCATTACGGGTGTAAATTATAGAAAACTTTCACTGTCAAGTTTTTCCTTTTAAATTTGGTTAAAAATTACTTTACGTCTGGGTAAAATGCGAATGCGAAATCAACTAAAGATTTTTTTAAATTTCCATGAAATTATTCATTTTTGCGATTTCCTTCCTTTTCTAATAAACGAGTTAATTACATTTGGAAGTTAAGACAAAAATAAAGAAATAAGGAATGGGTAACAGGAGGAGGAGGGGGGGGGGGAATTCATGATTATTGTTTGTTAAAAACAATTATCCGAGAGAAATTCATTAATTAAGGCAAGAGTAATCAATTCTAATTAAGTTATAATGTTTAGGCTGGACTGGCAGACATTTAGTTGGATAATTAATCTTTATTACAAGCTGTTTGTGTCATTTGTAGGATTAAAGGTGAAAAATAATTACCCCCCCCCCCCCTATTTTCTTTCGGACGTTGAATACAGCTGTGACAATGTGTGGTTAATCATACGATACCTGACTACCTAGCGAACATCTACACCTTAGTCCCTAATACCTCAGATATAGCCAGATAACATGGGTAGAGTTGTGGGTTTGTTACACAAGTGATGGAAACTGTTGCCACTCTTAGTTTTCAGGAAAGATAATTCAAAAAAAAAATTTATATTAATGTTTACACATTAGCTTCCCCTTTTTTAAAATTTTACTGACCCCCCCCCCCCCTCCCCCTCCCCCCTTTGTGGACATCGTTTGCGTGCAACAGATAAGAGCTTAAAAACTTACAATTGTCCTGTTTAAAAATTGAATAGCGTTCTATTCTATTATTTATGGTTATATGAATAATTTTGTCTTTACAATAATTAAAGGAAATAATTTCTTTTTTTTAATTTTTATTTCCTATTTCAAAGCGTTTGTTAGGAAAGTTTTTATACAACATTAATTATGATAAAAAATATAAGAGAGATTAAATCGATGGGGATTAGGGGATTAGGATGGAAAGTTTAAAAAAAAATTCACTTCTAAATATTACTATCATGTTATAATAAAAAAAAGAAAAAAATCGTTAAAAATAATAGAAAATGTGTAATAGAGTTGTATTCCCAGAATATTTTCGCGTATTATAAAACTTGGAATTTAAAAACCTAATGAACGCTTCAAAATCTGTTATCGCTCTATAAAATAGTAAGTGATATCTAGTTTGGTGAGTTAAGCTTTGTCAAAGTGTCAAATAAAGACCTGAGGCAACACACAAAACATAAAATAGTATGTGATATCTAGTTTGGTTAGTTAAGCTTGTCAAAGTGTCAAATAAAGACCTGAGGCAACACACAAAACAACAGCCAATAGACAGGGACATTAAACCCACATACGGGCATGGATGGGGCATACCATGTGAAGGGAAGGGGGTGGATGGGGCATACCAAGTGAAGGGAAGGGGGTGGATAGGGCATACCATGTGAAGGGATAGGGGTGGATAGGGCATACCATGTGAAGGGAAGGGGGTGGATAGGGCATACCATGTGAAGGGAAGGGGGTGGATAGGGCATACCATGTGAAGGGAAGGGGGTGGATAGGGCATACCATGTGAAGGGAAGGGGGTGGATAGGGCATACCATGTGAAGGGAAGGGGGTGGATAGGGCATACCATGTGAAGGGAAGGGTGTGGATAGGGCATACCATGTGAAGGGAAGGGTGTGGATAGGGCATACCATGTGAAGGGAAGGGTGTGGATAGGGCATACCATGTGAAGGGAAGGGGGTGGATAGGGCATACCATGTGAAGGGAAGGGTGTGGATAGGGCATACCATGCGAAGGGAAGGGTGTGGATAGGGCATACCATGTGAAGGGAAGGGGGTGGATAGGGCATACCATGTGAAGGGAAGGGGGTGGATAGGGCATACCCTGTGAAGGGAAGGGGGTGGATAGGGCATACCATGTGAAGGGAAGGGGGGTGGATAGGTTTATAACTTTGTCGGATAGTATGCAAGGGTAATTTTGTGTTCGTTTGTTTCTTGATTAGTTAGTTTTCTATTATATTTTTATTTTTGCAATTTGATAGTGCATTCGTTTGTAACATTGTTAGTTTAGTTTGTTAGTTTGTGTGTTTGTCTGTTTATTAGTTTATTAGTTGTAATTGTTAGTTTGTAGTTTTGTTTTGTTTTTGTTTATTGATAAGCTATTGTTACTTCGTTGGTTAGCTAATTGGTTTACATGCATTTTTGGATGTTTTTCTTTATTTGTTATTTAATTTGTAGTTTGTTATTTTGATGATTCGTTAGTTTAGCTTGTAAGTTTGTAGTTTGTTTCTAAATCTTTTACCTCAAATCTAGGACACATAGACACATAAAAAAGGACCTACACAGAAAGTTTACAATAATCCTGTTTGTCGAGCTAACGGTTTGTAGAATTGTGTGTATGTGAATTCTTATAATTTGCCTATTTTTCTGTTTGCGCAAATATCTGTGCGCATTTTTCTCTTGACGCACTAATGTCTTTGATCATTTTACTTGCTCTTTTTTTCTTAAATAACGTGTTGTCATTTTTGTATAGTTAAAATACATTTTATTATATTCTACACTTTCCTTCAAAACTCGCTGTTCATAAAAACGATGTTTCAAGATGTTTGCTTTGTTTTTTAATTTAAATACGGCATTATTTTAAATTACAATAACGAACCAACAATTATTGTAAACATGTGTAAACATACAAACGTCATCCGCTGAAAGTTGTTAATTTAAGAAAAAAATTATGTGGGTTCATACTAGTGTTTGAAAATTTAATTAATGTATACTCAAACACAGAACAACAAAAGCCTATTTACAAAAAAAACAAAAAAAAAAACAAAAAAAAAAACAAAAAAAAACCCCCATAAATATCATTAATTAAACGCGTTCCATTAAGTTGAAAGATCTTGCATAATAAGAAAACAGTAAAAATTTTGATAATGGGGTTTGATTATATGTCAGGGCAGATTTAAATATTTTTCATTGGACTTCTTTAAGCTAAATTAGCAAACTCTCACTTTATTCATATATTTTTATTCATTTCCGTTGGCAGCATGGTCTAATTGTTTCAATAATACAATAATGTTTAGTTTCTTTGTGTTTAACTATGATAAATGTGGGAAAGGTTAAGAATAAAACTAAAACAATAATTTGTTACACAGAAATTATATTTTTTTATTTGTCTTCTCACTGCTGGGTGAGTTGACATAGTAGTATTAGCATGTCATAATACAGAACGGCAGGTTGACATGCAAATGCTGATCAGGGTTCAGAATCTCTGAAATAAAAAGAAGAAGAAAAATGATTGAAACATAGAAAAAAACACTCTTTATACTCAACGTTACCAATATATGGGTCAAGGCAGTATGATGAAAGGGTCCATGTTTCCCATCTATCAGGCCCACATTTTTCCACATTGCTGATAAACCCTAGGGTTGGGGCAATGCGGATTATCTTTTCCCATTCGTGCCCAAGACACAAGGGGCTGTTGAGGTACTATTGACATGTTTTAGATACCTGAGGTCAGCCTATAGTGTGGTCAACACTATGCCCAGCCGCCTATGCTTTCTCTAACGTGAGTTATGTACCCATCAGAGCTGGGTGGACTCGTGGACATTGCACTGACTTGAACCCGGATTCGAACACGCAATTTTCGGGTTAGCAAACTAGCTCTCTGCCGCTAGTTCGTGTCGTCCCATTTCGGATACATGCAAAAAAATCATTAAATTACCTTAAAATATAAGTAAGTATAGAAATGGCTTTAGAAACTAACTGGGCATTGTTTCTCGCAGGCGCCGGCTAAGAGTGCAATAGTATTTAAATACACTTGTTGCTTCTGTTTCTGATGACAGGTGTCCGAATCTATATAGGCTTTTAGTGTGCATCCCTTGTACGCAATCGCTTTGCTAATAAAAGAAAAACAACACCGTAAATAGTTTACAACGAACAAATATTTGAGTTTTTACCCCTTCCCCAAACCCGGTCTTCTTACATGCATTGTAACTAAAGCTTATATCTATCATGTCTCTTCATAAAATATATTTTATTCCAAATTATAACATGTTTATTATAATAATTAGAACCTAAACAATTTTGTAAATATTCACGAAAACATCTAAAAGGACTTTAGTGCTTTGTTTGACTCACTGGCAGAAAGATTTTGAGCTGCTGTTGGGATAAACGCAAGAATCCACATCACATGTTCCATCACTTGCAGATGTTGCTGAAAACGAATTCATCATATTTTATTTAAGTCATTTCTTTAACAAAAACTATTTTGTAATCTTTATTACTAAAACAGTATCTCTATAAATGTAAACTCTTACTTTTGCAGCGCATTCGGGCCATGTTCGTTACAGTTTCAAACATCCTCTGCGTGGCTATTTCTCTTTGCAATAAGGTGCAGTGGTTTTTTTTCATAACTGTATAATGCAGACATTCGTAGTATTTTCTAGCCCTCCTGTACAAAAGAACAAAAAAAAACAATGCAATGAAACGAAACGCAATGCAGTGCAATGCAATGCAATACTAAAGCTAATGCCAATGCAACAATTATTAATTATTTTTTTAAAATTATACACACCCACAATACTTTGGTTCACGCGAGGGTGGAGGTGGCCGACCACAAACACCAGCATGGCAAGTATCTAGAGTATATACGTGTGTTGTATATATATGTATATATATATATATATATATATATATATATATATATATATATATATATATATATATATATACATATATATAGATATACATGTCATAATGGTGCATTTAGAATGGTATATTTTAAATATCAATTTACTTTTGACTGATGCTGAACATCATCAACGTTAAAAACGCTAATTTAAAAATTCAATGTATTTGAGTAGTTGACTTTAATTATTAATGCAATGCAGTGCAATGCAATGCAATACTAAAGCTAATGCCAATGTAACAATTATTAATTATTTTTTTAAAATTATACACACCCACAATACTTTGGTTCACGCGAGGGTGGAGGTGGCCGACCACAAACACCAGCATGGCAAGTATCTAGAGTATATACGTGTGTTGTATATATATGTATATATATATATATATATATATATATATATATATATATATATATATATATATATATATATATATATATATATATATATATATACATATATATACATATATATAGATATACATGTCATAATGGTGCATTTAGAATGGTATATTTTAAATATCAATTTACTTTTGACTGATGCTGAACATCATCAACGTTAAAAACGCTAATTTAAAAATTCAATGTATTTGAGTAGTTGACTTTAATTATTAAATTACCTTTAACAGTTAAGTCTTTTGCTTGCGACCATGCAGTCACAGCAACACTGGCTAGAGATGAATCAATATTATGTATATATATATATATATATATATATATATATATATATATATATATATATATATATATATATATATATATACAAACATATGGATATATATATATTATAGTCTAAAACTATAAGAGAAATATTTAAATTTAATACGAAACCGTGATAGAGTGTAACTAATCCCAGAGGCGTCGCTAAGGGAAGGGGGGGGGTGGGGGCGGAGGATGCGGACCGCACAGGGTGACACCATTTAGGGAGGGGTGACACCAAAGCCAAAATAGCACAATATATTTAGAAAGAAAACGAACATTCCAGTTAAATCATTGATTCATTCGAGGTTAAAAGGGTTAATTAAAAGCAAAATTGCCAGATCCCTACTTGGTTGGGGGTAGGGGGGGATTGTGACACCATGACGTAAACCTGATAACGATATAGAAAAAATACTACATCCAGCTGTATTTATATTATAACCGGCTATATATGAACATCGTTAGTATTATCAGATGACAGTTTAAAGCTATGACCGGGTGAAAGAGGGGACTGACACCAACTAAACTTTGCAAAATTTGCTTGAGGAAACGGTTTTCTTGAGAATTGTAATAACTGGCACGTCAAGCCGAGCCTGGGGTGGGGTGGGGGGGGGGAGTGACACAAATTTTAATAACTTACTACAAATGTAATGCTTTTTCCGCTTGAATTAACAAGTGATAGAGTTAGGCCTCTAAATGCTTTTTCTAGGTGGATTAATATAATGTTTGCAAAAATTGACGAGTCTTGACACAAAGTTACGGGGGTGACACCAAATACACAGTCCATTGAAATGAATTGGAGGGACACCACAATCTAAAATTTTCAATTATACACATCTTTAGACTAAGCTAATTATTATACAACAGCTTTGGTGTGTGTCTGGTGTGTTTAATCTGCCCAAGATCAGAGAAGAGAATAAAGCTCTACTTCACCTAGCTTCGTCTGGCATGAGAGTGGCACTGCACATTTAAGATTCTGCCTGCTTTACATTTTATTCTAAATCGTTGTTTACTTTACTCTTGTAACCAACAAGCTGCTGTGTTGATATTTAGCTGATATTTAATAAAATTGTTTCCACATCCTTAGTGTAAGGTAACATATTTTCTTTTAACTTACCTACAACAGCTAGATAAATGCCACCAGCTTTCATTTTAGAAATGTTTTACAGTCTGAATCAGATCTTGTTTGCTATTAGAAAATATAAATAAAGCATCATATAAAGTTAAATTGTTGGTTTATGCAACAAGTAACGTCTTGAAATTATTCTATTTAAACAGTAATTTACTAAAAACGACACTCGTGAAATCTAATCCGCATAAACAGACACAAACTTATTAGCAAAATAATGTTCACAACCAATCTTAATGTGATAAACTTGATGCATGCATGTTTATGTTATTGTAAAAAAAAAAAACAATCTTCGTTGCGCTTGGATCATAAAAATCGGGGCACGGGTTTGCCTACACTACCGCATCAAAAACCGATATATATATATATATATATATATATATATATATATATATATATATATATATATATATATATATATATATATATATATATATATATATATATATATGGGAAAGGCATTACCCCCCACGTCAATTACCCCCGACGTTCCCCCCCTCATTACCCCCCGGAATATTTACCCTATGTCAATTACCCCCGCCCATAGCTTAAGTTTTTTATAGGGATAGGGTTAGAGCTAGGGTTTGAGTTTGGGTTAGGTCTAGGTTTAGGTCTAGGTCTAGGTCTAGGTCTAGGTCTAGGTCTAGGTCTAGGTCTAGGTCTAGGTCTAGGTCTAGGTCTAGGTCTAGGTCTAGGTCTAGGTCTAGGTCTAGGTCTAGGTCTAGGTCTAGGTCTAGGTCTAGGTCTAGGTCTAGGTCTAGGTCTAGGTCTAGGTCTAGGTCTAGGTCTAGGTCTAGGTCTAGGTCTAGGTCTAGGTCTAGGTCTAGGTCTAGGTCTAGGTCTAGGTCTAGGTCTAGGTCTAGGTCTAGGTCTAGGTCTAGGTCTAGGTCTAGGTCTAGGTCTAGGTCTAGGTCTAGGTCTAGATTGTTCGTCTTTGTCTTAAGGTTAAAACTAAGTTAATATAAAGTATTGAGTTGGAGTTAGATTCACGATTCTTTTTTTGGTGACGGGGGTGGAGGGGGGGGGGGGGGGTGTCATAAGGTATTTGCTCCGGTGGGTGATTGCCGTGAGATCATTTGTCTGAGTTGATTTGTCAAAGATATAATAATGTTTTATGCTTTTTGTTTGTAAGTGAATGTGTATACGTCTGCGTGCATGTGTGTATGTGTGTGTGTGTGTGTGTGTGTGTGTGAGAGAGAGAGAGAGAGAGAGAGAGAGAGAGAGAGAGAGAGAGAGTGGGAATATAAAATAAATTATACATTGGAGCAAGCAACTTCAACTAAACCTCATTAAGAATATACGGTTATTCATCATGCGTACAAAAAACCCAATGTAAACTATAAAATGGTAAAGTAACATACCTTCAGATGAGGAGCATCAAAACCAAACAGGCTGAGCCCCAACTGCGGCTCTTATGTTTTCAAACTGTGATTGAGACATCACGTGATGCCACGTTGTGTCAGGGGTTCTCAAACCGTTCAGCCAGTCATTACTTGTAGCTTCATTTTATTCTTTGCCAACACACTAGCATATACACAAGCAATGAGGCACACGCTTAACCTTAACCTTAACCTTAACCTTAACCTTAACCTTAACCTTAACCTTAACCTTAACCTTAACCTTAACCTTAACCTTAACCTTAACCTTAACCTTAACCTTAACCTTAACCTTAACCTTAACCTTAACCTTAACCTTAACCTTAACCTTAACCTTAACCTTAACCTTAACCTTAACCTTAACCTTAACCTTAACCTTAACCTTAACCTTAACCTTAACCTTAACCTTAACCTTAACCTTAACCTTAACCTTAACCTTAACCTTAACCTTAACCTTAACCTTAACCTTAACCTTAACCTTAACCTTAACCTTAACCTTAACCTTAACCTTAACCTTAACCTTAACCTTAACCTTAACCTTAACCTTAACCTTAACCTTAACCTTAACCTTAACCTTAACCTTAACCTTAACCTTAACCTTAACCTTAACCTTAACCTTAACCTTAACCTTAACCTTAACCTTAACCTTAACCTTAACCTTAACCTTAACCTTAACCTTAACCTTAACCTTAACCTTAACCTTAACCTTAACCTTAACCTTAACCTTAACCATAACCATAACCATAACCTTAACCTTAACTTTAACCTTAACCTTAACCTTAACCTTAACCGTAACCGTAACCTTAACCTTAACCTTAACCTTAACCTTAACCTTAACCGTAACCGTAACCTTAACCTTAACCTTAACCTAAACCTTAACCTTAACCTTAACCTTAACCTTAACCTTAACCTTAACCTTAACCTTAACCTTAACCTTAACCTTAACCTTAACCTTAACCTTAACCTTAACCTTAACCTTAACCTTAACCTTAACCTTAACCTTAACCTTAACCTTAACCTTAACCTTAACCTTAACCTTAACCTTAACCTTAACCTTAACCTTAACCTTAACCTTAACCTTAACCTTAACCTTAACCTTAACCTTAACCTTAACCTTAACCTTAACCTTAACCTTAACCTTAACCTTAACCTTAACCTTAACCTTAACCTTAACCTTAACCTTAACCTTAACCTTAACCTTAACCTTAACCTTAACCTTAACCTTAACCTTAACCTTAACCTTAACCTTAACCTTAACCTTAACCTTAACCTTAACCTTAACCTTAACCTTAACCTTAACCTTAACCTTAACCTTAACCTTAACCTTAACCTTAACCTTAACCTTAACCTTAACCTTAACCTTAACCTTAACCTTAACCTTAACCTTAACCTTAACCTTAACCTTAACCTTAACCTCAACCTCAACCTCAACCTCAACCTCAACCTCAACCTCAACCTCAACCTCAACCTCAACCTCAACCTTAACCTTAACCTTAACCTTAACCTTAACCTTAACCTTAACCTTAACCTTAACCTTAACCTTAACCTTAACCTTTGCCGGTTATATCAGAGCCGTAGCCAGTTCTAGCTACAACAGTTAGGGGATTCGAGTTAGCCAGCGTTAGCTATATCAAAGATGCGGTAAGACAAGCCAATCCTAGCTAAACCAAAGATGGAATAGATAGAAACCCGTAACAAGGGCAAACTGTTTAACAAATTTTCAAAAATGCTGTTAGAAAAATTAC